TTCAAATCTTTTTAGCAAAAGAAGAGATAATTAATATTATTAAAGTAAAAATCTTAATGATTGACCAAACTAGAATAGTTTTATTTTTCTTTAACAAATAGAGCAGATACAAAGAAAAACAAATGAATGAATATCAAAAAAACAATTTATTATTTTTCTCACTTAATGTGATTCATCATCAATTGTTGTTTGAATAAATCCAACTTTTTGTAAATATATGACGAGATCATATAGTAATTTTTCTTTCAGCATTAGAAGGTTTTTCTCTTTGATAAGTTTATCTTTTAATCGATCTTCTTCTAATTCCAAAAGTTCATTACTTTTTTAAATTCACCTTGCAAGTACATACTTATTTCTTGTAACTTTTCAATCTAAATATGAAAATATTTTTATTTACTTCAAAACTTGGATTTAACTGTAGTTTAATAAACTTTCGTTGTGTAGGCACCATATATAGAAAAAGTATTTACCCAGGTAGGTCATTCAGAACATCTGAAACTGCACTTTATAAGGCATGAAAGGGCTAAAACTGAGTGTCGCTTTTGACCGTTTTTGTAGCCGTAATCCGGCATCCTCCCCTAGCTCTTACCTCTCCGTTCTCGTCACTACAATTTACTCAATTAAATACTTACTTTTTTTCGTACTGAATAATCTAAAATAAATAAATAATACTTGAAGTTTGTGTGAGTGTCAGATGAAGGTTAATGCAATATTCACACTAACACTTGCCTGGAGATCAACGTGTTCTCAAATCATTTAAATAATGACAAGATAGACTGTGAAATATATATTCATACACTTTAACTAGTATTTCTTTTTTATCTTGTTGTCATTTGTGGTATGTTAGTATTTAGTGTCATTGAATGACAAAAATAATAGAACAAAGAAAACGATGTTCAGTTTCAAAATGCTTCTTTTACATAGATCTATTTACCAAAGCCTTCACTAATCTGTTATCGTGATTAATTAAAAGATGATGACATACACATTCAGTCTGGGAAACATTTTGACAAAATGCGCGTAATGAGCACATGAGCATTGTGTTGCAGATGCTTTTAGCATGCAATATCAAAATCGGAGTTTAAAAGGATAGAAAAGTCTTTTTTCTCTAATTTTACAAATTGCGACGTTTATTTCAAAACGTCTTACACTATAAACAAGAATGTCTACTGCCACTACTGCAATCATTACCAATCTCGCTTTCATCACTGCACAATTAAATCGTTCACTTGCTCTCATAATTCTAATCTTTGGTACAATCGGCAATCTAATCAATATTCTCGTCTTTTCACGACGTTCTCTACGTAAACAACCATGTTCAATCTATTTTCTTGGTGCTTCAATCGCCAGTCTTTTTGCTCTCTACTCTGGTTTATTGAGTCGCCTTCTAAGTGGCTATAATCTTGATATATCAATTTATAATGATAGTATATGTAAACTGCGATTCTTTACTGCCTATTGGTGTTTAACAGTATTAGCCTGGTTTCTCGTTTTTGCTTCTATTGATCGTTATCTCGGTACATCACGTCTTGCTTATCGACGAAATTTTAGTCATCGATACGTTGCCTATCGTGTGGTTTCTATTGCATCCTTATTAAGTTTTCTTGCTTATATTAGTGTTTTCTTTTGTTTCAACACTAATTCATTCCTATCATCTCGTCAATGCTATTCTCAAGGAATTATCTGCCCGTTTGTTACTGATATAGAATTCTTAATTCTATATTCATTGCTACCAACTATTATAATGACAATTTTTGGTTCTCTCACAGTAAGAAATGTAAAACAGTTAGGCAGACATATAGCACCTGCCACTAGTAATATAACCGCTACAAATAATCGTCAACTGCGTCGACAAAAAAAAATTCAACTTGTACCAATGCTACTTACACAAATTGTTTTATTTCTTCTTTTTACTGTGCCTGTTGCTGTTAGTAAACTCTATACATCATTAACAAATCTTCTCAACTATGAGAAAACAAATGAACAAGTGGCACGTGAAACATTTTCATATAATGTAACGGTTTTAATAACATATTTAAACTGTTCAGTGAGCTTCTATGTTTATGCACTGACAGGGCATTTATTTCGAAATGAGTTAAAAAAGACAGCACAGAAACTCATTGATAAAAATTATACTTCAAGAACAACTACATGAACTATTCCTTAATTTATTCTTGTTTTCAAATGTATATTGTAGATTGTAAAATAAATGTTCTTTAAAAAATCGAAATATTTAGAGCATCTTGAGGATGTGGTTGAGACTGTTTTTTTTTATCAACAGTGCCCATACTTACATCCTTTCAATAAATAAATTCAACTAATTCCGAAACGAAATTTATTTTTCTATCATTTATTTAGAACGAAGGAGAATGAAATGTTTTACCGGAAGAAATTTTTTTATTATAATAAAAGCATTTCGATAATTCATACTCACATCTAGCTGTATTAGTAATTTGTAGATGATGAGGCAAAAGCAGAAGAAAAAAACATCACATCAACAAATGACAATGCACTCAGATAAAAAAACACTTACTAATGATAAGGAATCGTATAAATATTTTAAAATGAGAGTCATTTTTTATTTTTAACAAAGGTAAGTACTCGAAAAATAGAATATAAGATTGTTAATCATTGAATGAAATATTTAGATGCGATCTATATCAATTCTTGTACTTTTTGTGTTAGCTTTGAGCAGTACATGGACTCGTGATATAACAATCAATCAACAATGGAAATTATGGAAAAATCAATTTAATAAAAGTTATACAAATGTTGAAGAACGTCTTCGGTATGAAGTTTTGTTGTCTTAATTTTATATCACGATGTGTCTGGATATTTTAGTCGGATGATTTGGGGAAAAAATTTAGAAATAGTAGAAGAACATAATCGTCAAGCTGATCTTGGTCTTCATACATATCGACTTGGAATGAATCAATTTGCGGATTTAGTAATATTCTGTTGTTTATATATTCCTTACAATTTGATTTGTAATTCTATTATAGGCTAACGAAGAATTTGTAAAATTATTAAATGAATTTCAAAATAAAGATGATCAAAAAGATGCTCAACCATTTATAGAAAATTCAAATATTAAACTACCAGATACTGTTGGTATGAATTATTATTACAATCATTCTTAAATGTATATTTTTATTTTTCAATAGATTGGCGTGATAGAGGTGCTGTAGTTCCAGTTAAAAATCAAGGTCAATGTGGATCATCATGGGCATTTTCAGCAGTTGGTGCAATTGAAGGTGCATATGAAATCAAAACAGGCAAACTTGTTTCACTTTCTGAACAACAATTAGTTGATTGTTCAACTAAACAAGGAAATGCGGGTTGTAATGGCGGATATATGACTCAATCTTTTCAATATATTAAAGAAGCTGGTGGTATTCAATCAGAAGATACTTATCCATATACAGCACATGAGGATACATGTACATTTAATTCATCAAATGTTATTGTTAAAGTTTGTGGATTTGTTGAAATTCAATCAGGAAATGAAACAGCACTTCAACAAGCAGTGGCGTTAATTGGACCAATAGCAACTGCTGTTGATGCTAGTCATTCTTCATTTCAAATGTATCAAAGTGGTGGTACGTGCTTTTTTGATTTGGTTATATTAATTTATACAATTTGTTATTTCTAGTTTATGACGAACCAGAATGTAGATCAGATCAACCTGATCATGGCATTTTTATCGTTGGTTATGGAAATGAATCGGGTAAAGATTATTGGCTTTTGAAAAACAGGTAATTATCGTCGTTTTTTAACAATTTTCTTTCTTATATGTATATCATTATTTTAGTTGGGGTACAGATTGGGGTGAACAAGGTTATATTAAGGTTATACGTAATAAAAATAATGAATGTGCTGTTGCTACAATGGCAAGTTATCCAATTTTATGTTAAAATGATTTTACTCTTACATCATACCGAATAAAAAACGAATGATTTTCTTTATTTACAATAAAAAAACAGAATGTGGGTGAGAGTGAATGAAGAGAATAACACTACGCTCACATTCATGCCTTATAAATATTTGTTTGATTATTTAAATTAATATATAAACTTTGAGAAAATTTTAGTTAAATAAAATTAGAATCAATCCATTTTGATTATTCGATAAGTATTTATATCAACAATTCAAAAAATCATTTCAATTTGAATTTAAAGACATTTCCATCATTATCCATATTCATTGAAGTCACTCAAATCACAGAAAAGCCTGATAAAAATTGATTTATAAAAGAAAATGAATAAACAAGAAAACGTGTTGAATTTGAAAATTAAGACTATAAAGAATATAAAGTGTATTATTTTAAATTAAAATAATATTTGCTGGTTGACGAAGTCGCGACAATGATAAACCTCGTGATCCTGTTCGACTTTCTGCTACTGCTAGTAAAAGTTTTTGCATTCATTAAAGTTCTTTTCTTTTGAAGTCGGGTGTGGATGTGGGTGTGGGTGTGAGTAGTACATTTACCGTGCATTCACACGCACACCCTTTTAGAAAATGCTTGATTTTATTTAGAGTAAAAATTCAATTTGATTTTGAGCTGAAAGTCAAAACTAATAGTGATTAACTCTCGTTCGTATCTAAATACAACTATGTCAGCACGCAGACCGCAGCAGTCTAGGGCCAAGTGAATCGAATTTCGATGACCGCTACTTGTCATTAAATACTTTATTAATAAATACAAACAAAACAAAAAGCATATACAAAATGAACAACTATTTACGAAAACAAAAAGAAACTATTTACAAAGAAACTAAACTGACAATATCCGCTGTTTCCCATATACCACCTCCATTACCGTCTGATGCCCTGCAACAAAAACAGTTTCTACAAAACTTCAATATATACAAAAGTTTTACCTTTTGCTTCTTTCCTATGCTTGTATTCTTCTGTTGATTTAGGCATAAACCAAGCTTTCTAGAACAAACATTCAATATAAAAGGAAAAAAACATTAAAAATAAAAATATACCTTGCACTCGCATTCATTTCTAACGCATTTTATACTACACCAGCACGAACACACTAATTACAACTATACACAACTTATATATCCATTCCATAATCATATGATGATCATCCACTTTCAACCGATTGTCGTTTCCCGCCGGATTTTCCGAACTACCACCCAACATCGACACATCAGCAACAGTAATCGATTCAAACTCCTCCAACGATTGAAATGACGACGACTGAAAAAAAAACAATTAAAAATACTTGTCAAGAACAGTCAATAACTACTTACTCTTCCAACACAATCATCTTGAGGGTGTGGGTGTTGGTGTGAGAATTCTTTTTATCCGAAACCCACACCGACACTCAAACTCACACCCACCCACCCTGATAAAAAATGATTTATAAAAGAAGATGAATAAACAAGAAAACGTATTGAATTTGATAAATATCGTAAAACTCGATGTTTAATCAAAAGAATCCAGTGTGAAAATGACGTATTTCAGAATTTTCGTGGCTTTTTCGAACATTTGAATGATGCTTATAAAAATATTCATAGATAAACTATTGATAAGAGTCAATCAAATTACTGTAGAGTAGAGTGAGTGAACTAATCGCAGGATAAGATCCTTTTTTTTTATAATAATCTCTGGAAGTTTTATTTTGTATTTTACAATTAATGTTCGAGAAAAATTTTAATTACTTTTCCCAATAATTTATGATTTAGGTAGGGTGTGGGTGAGGGTATTGTATTCATTCCTTCATACCCACATCGATGGTACTTCTTGGTACTTTTGTACTTCAAAAATACAGAAGTTCGCTTGTTCCTCCTCGGTTTGAGTAGCAGAATCAACAGGTGAGTTTCTTGGTGTTGTGTCTATTGTTGGTAACGATCGTTTTGCTATCGCAACATAGACATTATACTTTATGCTTTTTTGAAGTCAAATGATGCATTTTTGATTTATTCAAATGAAAAAGAAATATTTTGCTGATGACTCTTACACAAGATCGAATCGATCGTTGTAAGCAAGTTGAATATAACTCGTCTAACTATCGTCTTCAATCGCACTATATTTATAATAATTCAAACAACGAATGGCTGTTTCAAATATAGGAACCAGTCGATTGTCTTAATTTACTGAGCTTTTTTGATAAACAAATATTCCTTCATTTTATTTCAAAATTATTTCCCAGACGAACCGATACATTGATAATAGAGTCGAACTTCTTGTATATCGATACTACTTAGGTTGTTTCGTTGACCAATTACAGCTAACGGATCTTTTGGTACTAATGTCGGTTTTCCGTTGGAAGTGAAATAATCTGTTCCATAATGCAACAGACTTTGGTAGTCATAGGGCGTTCCAAGTGTATCAACAGTCGTTGTGTATTTATTGAAAGCATGCTCCAATCCTTTAGATTTTAAACATAGTTTTAGCTTGTAATAATGAAAGAGTATTATTCATACCTTTCTGAACGTTCGCATATTGAACTGTAACATAGTTGTCACGATCGGGACGAGACTGTTCATGCCAGAATCCTATGAAGAAAGAATGCATAAACTATCTGCAATCAGAAAAAGAAATATCAAGTACCTAAAGTATGTAGTAATTCATGCATAATGGTTCCTTCATGAATGCAGCCGCTACCCAGGGTAAGTTCTTTCACACTATGCCAGTTCTGTCCGACCTATAATTAAAACGAATCGAAACACTTAACTTTGAAACTTTTCCGTGATTCACTCTACATACACTACTGGTACATCCGGCACCATCTTTAATTGTAATAAAGTGTTTATCAGTGACGATTTTTGGTCTAAATTGAACACAGAGTTTGCTGTTGACCGCTACAGATTGCTCAAGCCGGCGCATTGCTTGGACAATAACTGCCTCTTGTCCTGCGTCTGTAGAGATAAAAAACGTTTTCCTGTCATGTTTTAACTACAACAATTAAAGACAAATTTGTTCTTACTGAAGTCACCAGGTTTCATCATATATGGTACGATGCCATTTGTCCATCTTGCTGCCTTAACTTTCTCTCCAACACCACGCTGAAACGATAGTTGTATTATAGTTCTTATTTCATGCGTTATTGTACTTACAGTTCTTGGCGGAAGTATAATATCTCCTTCAAAAGCGCCTGCTTCTTCTGGATTATATCGAAACATCTACAATTCAAAGTCATCAATCGTTGCTATGTATAGTACAAACCAAATCAGTTACCTTACGTGCGGGATACGCAACAACAAAACATTGTGGGATCAATAGCGCAGCTAAAAGGTAGAAGAGGAAAAGAATCGACGAAAACATCGTCCCGATGATTACAACTATAGTCGATAGTGAAAGAAGCAGCGATGTATTTCAATTATTTATATAGGCGATGGCTTTTTATTTTTGTTTTTCTAAAAAACACAATTTGCGTCTTTTCATTAAAAGATTAGTGTTATAGAACAACACGAAAACGATGTGACTGATTTGAAATTAAATAGCCATCTTAAAAAAGCATGATTATTCTTTTCTCGCCGAGCGAAAGTAACTTGATATAAAGATTGAGTGAGTCGTAAATAAGAATGAAAATGATTTGAATAGTGCACAATTGAAATAGAAACAATAATCAGCATGTCGGTAATTCTAAAAGAAACATGATAATTGAAAGTAAATCTTTTTCTTTCATATATTATACAATAATAATAAATTTTTTGTCTTGCTATGCCGACAATAAAATAAATACACTACGTGGTTGTCGATCATTGTTTTATATTCATTCTAAGTCTTCACTATTACTCATATTTTCATAGAAGGGTGTGGGTTTTATGGATGAGGACTAATCTTTTCTTAATCCACACCCACACCCACCCCAAAGTAGAAAATGTTGTTTGATACTGTTGTCAAGTAGACGACCATTCGTGTATTCTCTGCAGGACAGAGCAATGAGAAATGAAATACTTATATATGGAGATTAAATTTACTATATGCAAGAATCGGTCAAAGGTTGCTTGACCATTGTCAATAATGCATATTTTCACGAAATGGGTAATAATTCAACTGGTATTAGTTCAGTTCGGTTCTAGCTATGTCTTAAAGGAAAGAGCGTTAAAGAAAAAAAAATACAAATTTTTTCAGATTTATGATTTTATAGAGAATTAGATAGTCACACGCATTTTATTGTAAAGAAAAAAGTATTTGAAATAAATTTGAGTTCACTTGTACTAACGATAGATCGGTGCATACACCAAACACAATAGTACACCAATTACTCCAACATAACTTGCACGAATCAGGCCAGCACTACTATCCCCATTATTTTCATATTTGTCAAAATCAAAACTGAATGACATCGATCTAATCTGCTTCTGTTTCTCTTCGCTATTACAGTTGTCTATATCACATAGATACGTATAAAATAAAGACGTTAAACTTCTATTCTTCACTGTAAGGTATTCATTATGATGAAAATAACCTAAAGTATAACTCGTCTGATTGGCCAAGCTACTACATCCACCACACATTTCATGTTGACAGATTATTGCTTGAGCTTGAATGCAATCCGACTGATTTGACGATGGCTGAAACGAACAGGAAGTTGAAGAGCCACAGTATGCTGGTAATCCAGTGTCATAGCTTGAGACTTGTTTTAAGGGACCTGCTGATGGTTTGTGCAACTGTTGCATAAATTGTGTAAAGTTGAAGCTAAATGGCGAGCCTAGCAGAACTCGTTTCATATTTTCAATACTGTTGCATCCGTCAGAGTAACAATAGTATTCATAATCCATCCGATAATAGCTCTTTGCAACAGCATCTGTAGTATAGTTTGCTTCAAATTTCAAACGTATCTCTGTATCGTTTCGATCTGTTGAGAGCATTTCAATAGCTTCTGCCTTGTAGTATATGTCAGCAGATGTTGCTGAGGAGAAATTTAGAATTTGTAAATAGTTAGCACAAAAATGACGAGAAACATTTAACATGAAGCCTATTTCACAGTCACTTTTTGCTAATAATGATTCCAAGTTCTGAGCAGTGAATGTTGAAATTGATGAAGTGAAGGATTCTTCGTGATTACAGGAGTAACATAGAATAGTGTGGGTTAGAAGCGGAAGAAGTGTGAACGTTAGGAGAGTAAAAACAAAAGAATACATCATTAAAAATGTACCGTAAGGTTTAGTATCTGTAAGTTAGTTCTTATAAGAATGAATGACGAAACTATTTTCATCTTCGAGTTGTAATACGCAGTTTTTATACGTCATAGAAGAAAGAAATGCGTAATATATAAATAAAGTTATATCATTTCTCATGAGAACTCTCTCTCCTTTAGAATCATATACTATAGAACATACAGGTAAACAGTAATACGTTGTTCTTTTTTTCTTTGCGAGTTCTTATCTCTACTTGCATTACGAAGCTAACTCTCAAAGTTCTATGACAATGCTAAATTTAAGTTTATAAATTTTTAAATTTTGTTTCTTCGTGCAACGAACAGACGCTTAATTTTAATTTCGATTTCTACATGCAGCTTTTACAAAACGTTTTTCCAAGTAAAAACAAGACTGAGTTCTTTTTTCGACGTTCAGCTGTCATTTTTGCTTTTTATAATTTTATTATTTTAACTAATATTGTTTTCGTACATTTCAAGTAAAAGGATTTTAAATATTAGTTTTGATCAATATTTTGTAACATATTTTTCATCTTTTTTCAACCTAATAAAATATGTGATTAAAATATGGACTTATGTGTTAATGTGTATAATCCATGTTCATACAGAGCATCAATTGTAATATGTTACAGATTTCTAGAGAGAGTGATGCCAAAGATTCACAGGACTTGTTCAAAAAAATATTACATTAGAATGTTATATTTAAGGCATGTGTGTGTTGATATTGTATCAATCTCTCACTCACTCACGCCTATAACCAGAAAATATTAAAAGAACAGGAGCTAGTGAGTTACGTGTTATATGATACTCATACCCACCCTTAGAAATCGGAGATAAACTTGCTATTCAATTGATTTAGATATTTTTAAGAAAAAATGTCATTAAAATTGATTTCGTCGACAAAAAAAGGAAAAAGTCTATTGTATAATTTGTTATTTTATTTCATTCATTCTCTCAAAAGAATTACAAACAAAAATATCATGTATGTGTTCTGTTTAAAGTAATCCAATGAATTAAGAGAAAATATGGATAACATTATAGAGGCATATAAGATCGTACTATGGGGAAAATCCTAATGGTTGCATGATTCAGAACATATCTTGTTGCAAAAATGTACTCTTGTAAAAACGAAATTCGAGCTATTCCATCGGATAATAAAATAGTATGATAAGAACATCAGAAATAACAGAATATTTTAATATTAAACATTCATTCTATATCTGGAGCTAATTCTTTCTAGGCTAAATCCATTTGCATTAAACATAACATACATTAGTTATGCCTAACGAGATAAAATAGTCATATTGATTGATGGAGTATCTAAACAATGTTTGACTACATTTTTAGTACTACATTCAGAATTAATAAATTGAAATAACATTAGAATCTAGTAAAATATTTTTCTTTTCCTTTTTATATAGATTTATGAAGTATTGTTTGTAGAAAATTAGCAAGGACTTGCTCGATGAGTCAATTGCTTTTTCCGTTCTCTTACTTAAGGACGTTACTGATGTGAGAGAAAATTGGTTTTCTTTTTTTTCTGTTTCTTATCCTCACACAAATATCCGATTTTCTGTTCTGTGGATGACATTATAGGACGACAAAAATGACTTGATGAATATATTATTGCTCTCTTTCTCTCATCCGTAATAAGGTCTATACATCCAATAGATAGTTTTCTTATTCTACGTTAATTTATTATTTATTAGTTTTCGAACAAAACAGAAAAAAAGTTCTTGTATATAAACAACGATATTTTAAAGTGTAATTATAGATTGAATAAGTTCAAAATGGGTAACAATGTCGGTGTTACAATGGCAATTAATATTGATCGGCCTAATCCTTTTTATTACACTGATGAATGTGTATCTGGATCTGTGAAATTCGATATTACCGAAAGTAAATTAGAAGTAGAAGGAGTTTATATCACATTAATAGGTGTAATTGGCTATACAACAACTGTATCGGTTGCAACTAGTGGAACTCATGTAGGAAGACAAATTGAATATCATACTGCTCCGTTTTATTCTGCTAAAGTTATTTTGGCACAACTTGAACCAGAACAAAAAGAATTAATTTATAAACAAGGACAATATTCATGGCCATTTCAATTTCCATTAACGACACATCTTCCACCAACTTTTAATCAACCTGAAAAATATCCTCATATTCGATATTATCTAGAAGTTGTTATTGATAAACCATGGTATAAACCGAATAATAAACAAGGAAAACTTTTAACAATATTTCCACGTATTAATTTATTAGAAAATCCTCGATGTTTAGTTCCAACTATATTTGGAAATCAAAATAGAAAAGATATAAAATTAAATGGAACTTTAAATAAATCAGGTTACGTTCCTGGTGAATTAATTGCTGTGACATTAGAAATTGAAAATCCACAAAGAGTTTGTATTCAACGTATTGATCTATCAATGTTACAATCATATGACATTAGAGAAAATTCAAATGAATTTAATATATTCAAAGCAACATTACCCAAGATTGTTAATCGAAAAGATGAACAAATAAATGAAACAGTTTCGATACGCATTCCTGTTGTTTCATTACCTCCATCATATCAATTTCAAGGTCTTCAAACAGCTACTTATGTTGATATTCATTATTTATTGCAGTTCGAAGTCAAAGTCGAAGGAATGTTTACTAATTTCGAGATTAAAGTACCAATTACATTAGGTACAAAATCCATCTCTGATCAAGCTCATCAACAAGCACTTAATCCTTTGAATAACCCTAGTTCTTCCGATATCGAACAATCGATGTTTTCTACTGATACTGAACCACCACCACCAAGCTATGAATTTGTTGTACAAAATATGAATAATTTTACTGTTTTTTAATGTATCCTAGATTCTAATTAGATGCATATATTCATTCGTTTATTATCGCACCCTGTCTCTATATTCAAAATAGAATATGATAAATCAGTTGACTTAATATCCTAGCTTGTTTATCGTGTGAATAACGTAAAACAGTATAACAAAACTGATGAATCCAAAGAAAATTGTTTGCTTGTTTTAATAAATCACTTAATCATAGAATGTTCCTCTATAATATTATGTATCAAGTAAATCTCTTTCTTCTTCAATTGATCAACATAGAACATCAAGGTTATGATAAATACCAATTATATTTATCATCTTCTTTATTTGATTTACGCTAGAATTTTCTTCGTTTAGTAACAACATGTCCATGATCATTGAAGTTTAACTTGTAAATTTTCAATAGAATTTTGTATTTACTTACGAGTAAGATATAAAACTGAATAAATTTATGTATTATTTCATTGAATAAGTTATGCTATATCTTATATATTTATATAATCGAAATAAATGATCGACTAAGGGTGTGGATGCAGGTACGAAAGATATGATACACCCACACCTACCATCACCTTACATATAAGAAAAGATGTAGAACTTTCTCGCTATATATATACTAGATTAGTAAAAAAAACAAAAGCGGGAAATTCAAGTGAAGTACACAACATTGAAATATAGACTATGGGAACTAATCCGACACTGAAAAATGTCTTCTACAAAATCGGTTAAAAGAGGAAAATGAAGACATTGTTTTATGTTTATCATGTATAATTTATTCCAATGGAAGTGCTCGATCATTATTGTCCATATTCTCTGTAAATAAAGAATAGACTGCCATCATACGATTATATTCCGTAACTGCATTGAGCAGTTCATCATTAATCGCACTTCGTTGATTACTATTAAGTGTAAAACCGGGAATTTTTGAGAATTTGCTGCAATGATAAGCAATCTTGCTCAGAGACTCTTGGCTTGATTTTAGTGATGTCTGCTTGGCTGTGATTCCTTCCTGTACCTTCTCCATCGCAATTTGAAGATTCATTCTTTCCGTCTCTAATGCTGTTAATTCGTTTTGGAAATGTGATAGTTCCTTGTACTGATCAAATTTATTAACACCCCAATAACCTCCATAGCCCATCATACCGATTCCACCAAGAACACCGGCAACGCCTAGAGCAGGACCCGCAACAGCTGCTGTAGTTACTGTAACCATTGCAATACCTGTTTTGATTGCTAAGGCTCCCATAACAGTGCCAGCAACGGTTCCCGTGGCCCCTTTAATCATAACCCTGAGTTGTTCTGTCACACTCTCTTCAGTTAAAGATTCTATGGTCTTTTTCATTCCATCAATATGTTCATCACTGATAACTCCGATGAAGTTTGTTAGTTGGATCTGGACTTTGAAAATAGTTCCATCGATATCAATGAGTGTATCTTGATGATGATCGATAATACGACCAATTTCGACTAAACGATCTTCTCGTACAAGTGCTTGCATAGATTGTGTTTGTTCTTTTAAAATGGGTAATACTTTTTGTTGATGCATCACTGATGTCTGAAGAGCTCGCTGGTATTTGTCATATTTTTCTGCACTCGTATTCAAATCGGCTAGCAGATCCTTTACTTCAGAAAGTTTACCAATCTTTTTCGCATGTGTTTCAATACTTTTATATGCTCGACGCAATGTTGATGGCATTTTTTCGTTCAAGATATATGCTTCTGACAACTCCTTACTGACCTGCCGAACTCCTTGACCGAGAATATGTACGAATTCATCTACGGTCGCTTGAATAGTTTCATCATGATACATACTGGCGTGCCGCTGTAATTCTTCGATCGATTGAATTTGACGCAAAAGATTCAATTGTACATTATCTCTGCTAATCCTTAATGTTTCGAGTGTCGCCGTAGCATCCGGATACCAATTATGTCGGGTCGATCTCGAAAAAGAAACTGTGGAGGGAAAAAATACGCATGCGCTGGCAATTAAAAGAACTACAAGTATAAAAAAGAGAATATTGTGAAATTTACGGGATACTACTATTGGCGAAGACGCTGCAATAGCATTCGTAGTCTCAGGTACGACATGTTGCCTGCGTTGGCGTAGGCCATTATCATTTAAAGCAGCGTTTATAACTTCTTCGTTGGGATTTTCAAGATTTGCGGGCAATCGTTCTTGGTGAAAACTTGTTAAGTATTGACTCAATACTGCAATGATGCCGAAAATCGAACCGATCCATACTAAGATTGTTGATAATATCATCGAACCCCCTATGAGTATACATAATGTAAGTATAGACTGAAATTTATCCCAGAGCCAACTGTCATAGTAAAAAATCTTCTTATTTTTTAGTAAGATTTCTAACGGTGTATCAGTTACGTAGAAAGTAGCTTGAAATTTCGTAAATGATTCGTGCCATTTGTCGATAATATCGGTAACAAGAGAATAATTTCCTTCCTTTAAATAATCAACAACTAATTCACCATTCTCCAGACCTTTCGTCAACATCTTTGATAGTCCTTGACAATCACTTAGTTTTTTTTCAACAGAAGAATATAATTTCTGTGCCGTTGTTTCGACATTCATTAACGAAACCTCCATCCCTTTAATGTCTGGGCAGACACTATGTGCATCTTGCATTAATATTTTGAATTTTTTTGTTAGAGCAAATGATTTTTCATTGATATGAGTACATAAATAGTGTGTCTCAGTTTGAAGCGTGATAATTCGTTTACTGAATGATTGACTATCAATTGTTAGATCAGTACCAATCACTGACAATACGTTACTCATAATAATCATACCTAAGATGAAATTACGGATATTCATGATGGCGAGTTGCCAAGAATTGGATAATGAAAAGTTAATTGATACAACAATAAACTGGAAGATGAATTTGAATTATTACTACTAACACGAAGAATTAATCAGAATTGCGTTAGAATTTATACGGCGTGTCAGTTGTTGAGAGTTCACGAATTTCTATTTT